AATTTAAAGATACTTTTTTTCCACTTTTTGCACTTAGTACATTGATGTGTTGTTGGGCAACAAGAATAACAATCTTATAAAATAGAATGTTTCTTTCATTTTTTGAAAAATAGTGCTAATAAAATTTTCCAATTAAAAATTATTATTTTGTTTTCAAAAATAAGTTCAAAATATGCTTCATATTACAACAACTTCATAGTCAAATTACAACAACTTCATAGTCATATTTATTCACAAATTTAAAGTGAATCGAAGACATTATTACAATACGAGTCTATTTAACAAGCTAATTCATCCATGATGGAAATATAATAATAATCGATAATGATAACTTAAACCGATTTTATACTAGAAGTATCTATTTTGAGTCACCAATATAAAGTTCGTTCTGCAACTGCAGCTGATACTGCCGGAAGAAGAAGATGTACAGATTCGTTTGATTTTTTAAAGAACTCTATTTAAGACTACTCAAGTAAAGTAAATCTATTTAAGACTACTCATAGATTAAATTATGTTCACTTATAATAAAAATTCAATTATTTATAAAATTTTATTCAAAACAGGATGTTTCCCTGGTAAGCAAGCATCCCATCATCTTTATATGAATGCAATATGTTTTACCTGCGATTTATATGCAATCGTTTTTTTTTACAGTAGGTGAATAGCTTCGAAAGCCACAATGTCAGACTTGAACACCTCTGAAGAATGAATGGAGATGATTTCCACAACGCTGTGGAAACATTATTCCAGTAATCAACAGAGAGAGATAATGAGATGAGAGCAAATAGGCTTAATACCTAATGGGCTAGGTTCATCTAAGCCAGAATGCATAAGCATAATGGGTGATATTGAAGGGTTGAAAGGATGGGGTTATGGCTAAAAAACAGGGGTGAAACTAACAGTAAACTTTGTGACCAGGGTCACGAAAGCCGTGGTTATAGAAGGGGATGACGTGGGGATTGCGATGGGTATTGAGGAGACGTTAGGGGGGAGATCATGAAGCCGGTACTCGTCAACACGAGTGATCTTGACATTGTCATAAAGGACAGAGATGGGGAAGTGCGTACCGTTGGACTTGCGCTTATAGTTGGTACAATCACGAGAAACAGTTTCCGCTTAAATAGGCGGATTCTTTCCATTTATATGCAAAAAACATAAATGATTAATAACTAATAGATAGATATATAGATTAGGTTTATATGTTTTTATATGAACATACTCGTATATGGTACATATCTTAAATTATTTTAAAATTTCTTATAAAATTTAATTTTAAAATTTCTATATTCATTTTCAATTTCCGTTTTAAAAGTTCACGCAACGAAGAAGAAGAACTTCCAACTGAAATGTGACAACATTTTTGAACTGGGAAAAATTTTAATATGTACGGGTATCAAAAGTTTGGAACGTTTTCGTTAAACGCTGAAGTGATTTTTGTGTATCTTTTGTGCACTTTAGCAGTTAGCAGTCTTTCAGGCTTCCCATTAAAATGTTTTTTCTTTTAATTTTGAAATGCCCTGAAGTTAACCACAATAACAGAGCGTTCATTTGCGTTGTATTTCAAAACGGAGTTAGATTTTCACACATTGTTGCAAGTCACAAAAAAATCACAAAAAATCCGAAAGATACTTTTAAGTGTATTGCTTGAGTGTTGTGCATGCAACACCCGTGAACTGAAAGCTGAGATAGTAAAAGTCGGAATCGCGTACAAATGAAGTTCAGAGCACCGCGAATTGCAGGGTGTCAGCGCTTAACTTCATATGAGTAGGCGATATAATATATCGAAAATTTGAATAAATTTCTTGTTAGAAAATAAAATTATTACTAATAATAGGTCGGGTTTTTTTGGCCAGTGCATTATGTTTTTTTAAATTGTATATTTTATTTAGGCAAGACTCTGGTCTTATGACTGGAAAATGCATATAAAAATTTATATTTACTTAATTTTTTCACCCAAAAATTATAATTTAAAATTAATTACATTCAGTATATATGGACATAAACTCGTTTTATCATATATATATATATACTGAGTCCGTGCTTATAAATATTTAAAGTGACAAAAACTCACTTCAGATAAAATCTAGAGTACAACTTCAGTGTAGCTTCAGACAAGAAGACGCCCTGAAACCCTAAACCAAAACATGAATCGAGCAAAATGCTTTTTAAAGGAATCAACTTAACTGTACCAGCATAGCTATTTCTCCTTTGAAACTTCTTAGTAGCTTTTTCCGAGTCAAAAAAAAAAAAAACGACGTCTATACACATGTAGTTTGCGGTAAAAGGATTTTTTGCGTTCTTATGAGAAACATTTCATGCAATCATTTTATATCCTCCTTTGAAAGTGCAGAAATACTTCGAAACAAAAGGTTTTTATTTCTAATAAGACAAACGCATTGTTTCTACATTAGTCTTTCTCTATATTAAAATCTTACAAATTCTTAACAGACCTTTATAATCGAAAATTTAGAATTAGAACTTTAATTTTAAACCCTGACTTATGTTAATATTAGTAAATACAGTCTCTATCCCAAGTTAGCAAGTAGTTATTCAGATTGATATATTCATGATGATGACCTATCTGATATTCGATGTGTCAACTTGAATACTGTTATGCTACATATATGTATACCTATATCTCTGTATGAATATATATTTAAATATGAATATTTTTTGTTATTGCCATGGAAAAAAATATTTAGAAATATTTTGGTGCAGTATCCCCAATTAAATTTATAGAGAATTATACTGACATGGAATAACTTTCTTATTAACGCAGATGTTCACAAAACCCAGAGAAACAATGGTAATAACCCATTTTTTAATGATAATAATCTGTTATTTGCTTTTCTATGTTAATGTAAATAAGAAGGTTTTTCATAAGAAGCATTTTTAGCTATTATTGAGAAAAAATTAAAACAAAAACTTATTTAAATAACCGAAATCATTAAAAAATATAGTTGACATGTAACGAAATTTGTATCTAAACTTGCATTTCCTTGGCACAGACGAAAAAGCAGAAATAGCAAAAAACTGTTTACTCGACTCTCTCCCAACCTCCGCGATGCATCCTTTCAGAAAATAAATCTTGTTATTCTAACATGCTTAACTGGAAGTTAAAACAACCAAAACGAAACAAACGTCAGATAAGTTTTAAGAGTTTTTTGTTTTTGTTTTCGTTTTTATTCCTCGTTTTTCCTTTTTTATTTATTTTTGTATCTACGTTGTATCTGCGTTGTATCTGCGTTGTATCTGCGTTGTATCTACGTATATGAAAGGTACTTACGTTAGGAGTTTACGTTTTGTCTTGCATGTGAAACTAAATTTTTAATGAGTTCCAGCAAAAACCCATTTGGAAATTTAGCTATTTAACTTTAAAGAAGTCACAAGTTAGCAAAACAAATTGAGTTACCTACGAAAATGAAATATTTCTTCGAACTAAGAACAAGAATAAAGAAGGATAATTTAGTTAAACAATTACAGTAACTGAGTAACTGAGTAACTGAGTAACTGATAGCACTAAACCTAACAACATTAAAATTTTATATCGACACGATAAAGTTTCGAATCTTAGCAATTACTATATTTATACGACTATATACTACATACATTTACTTACTTGAGATATAAATGAATATCTCTAGTTTCTAGGAATCTCCACCTCAATTACCAGTTTTGAGCTCAGTGTGCAGTCACACTAAGTCTCTTTCTTTGTTCATGTTTTAAGAACTCAAACAGGCGATGGAAGTCTTAAATGACTAATACGGACCCTACCTCCAAGTAATACTAACGTTGTCCGGGGGTAGGACAAAAAAAAAGCACAGGTATTTGGTTAAGTGATATATATTTCACATGATTATCAGCGTTGCCAACACTATGACCCATTTTCTTTTTCATTGTGATCCATATTTTAATTTTCTTTTACGCACCCAACCTTTTAGAGTTGAAGCTATATTACGCTTTTCTTGAATATTGTATTATTATACATTATTATACCATAAATAGGACAGTAGAAACGAAACACTTCTGGATTGCCTTCGTTCCATTCATTTGATAAAAGGATATACAGATGGAGGTATTAGAATCGTTTCCTGACAATAGCAGAATATGAGTAAAGGGCAATTAATGGATAAGAAGTCCTACCTAAGAGCCACGGTGCGAGTAATGTTTTATATATTGTCTTGCATATGAATGAGTATGAGGAATGATTTTCAAATAATATAAAAATAACTTTAACTACTCTTATATGGTAGATAGCTATGTCAGATATCTTTGTCAGTGCTTAATAAATAACTAAAAATCAACAGCAATCACATCATCAAGATATGGCTAGCTAAGGAAAGCTTTTTTATCATTCAAAAATGACTGTGTATCATTATTCAAGATTTTACACTAATTATTAAATAAGGTGTGGAATCTGAGTTGCCAGAGAAATAATGTTAACCAACAGCTCTAGAATAGAACAGCTAGAAGAGAATAGTCAACAGAAATCTTACAATTTGTACAGACTGCCATCAGCTGAAGGTAGGACTTTTGTTTCATTACCAAAATTAGCTATCGTTGCAATACATGAGCAGAATTAAAAACATCAATACCTGAACTACCTCGAATATCAGTGTCCAAGCTGCCCCAGACCTGGCGTTGCAACCCCACGTTAATAAGATACAATACCTGTTTGTACAGTCAAATCTGGTTGATATTTTCATTAACTATATCAGTATATCTTCATCATCGCTGAAGTATATAAAAGTTTTCTTGAGTACTTATTGGCTCATATGTAAGGTCTGACATATATATGTCATTTGAAATCCGGAAACTAAAGCATTAGAATCAGCATGGTTTGTGAGGATATCTTATTGATATTAATATATTCCAATTACATTTTGAAGTGGCAAAAATGGTTAGTATAACTTATAAACGCTTCACAAATATTGGGTTTTTAATGAATTATAATTTGATTTTTAGTCATAGCTCGCACTATTAATAATAATGCAAAGTATACGAAATAAACTTGTCTTTATTAAAAAATAATCAATAAACTGAGAATTTGGTGGATTAGTTTAAAATATGAGTCATCATAGCAGCCAATTTTTCATAATCTATTTGCTCAAAGTTTACCAAGCCCGCCTCCTGTAAGATTTCATCGACTTCACCATCAGTAAGCTTTTCACCCATATTAGTTAACACATGTCGAAAGTCAGCCATCGGTATCAAGCCCGTTTGTTTCTTGTCAAAAACACGAAAGGCTTTATAAAGCTCATTTTCGTTACTATTTTTCAAATTGAGTGCAATCAAAACAAGGAATTCATCGAAGTTAACCATTCCGTTAGCAATAGAATCGAGCTTTTTTATCATCCTTTCCACTTCCGTCTCTAATGGATTCATATTTAGACAACGCATCACAATACCCAACTGTGCAGTGGTTATAGAGCCTGTAGCGTCCTTATCGAACATGGAAAACGCCACAGCAAATTCGTTGATTTCTTGTTTGGTCAAGGATCTAGCCATTTCTGCAGTTTTTACTGTGACTGAATGATCTAAATGACAGGAGCCCGATTCTTTATTTCTGCCGTAAATTCTCAATAAGAGAGAACTGCAAATTTTTTTAATGTTTTTAATGACCTAAACTTTTTGGAACAAACACATATTCTCTAAAATGCTTAATAAAATTATTAAACTTCACTTTGAATATAGATATAAAATCTAAAGGTATCTTTGTTTTATAACTAATATACTATAGAATCCACAAATATAATTATGTTTATGTTCTTAGTTCTTAGCACTGCTTCAAATATAGTTAGAAGCACCTCAGATTAATTAAAGACTTATAATGTAATGAACAAACATACTTTGTTCGTGATACTTTGGAGATAATTGATTTAACAGTCAAACACCAGAAATCTGCCATAAACTATTTTCTTGTACTCGTAACACAATTTGTTTTATAGCGGCATTAAGAGCTACTTCCGGTGATAGCTATATTGCCGAACGCTATACCTGGTATCCTAAAGAATTTCTAATAGGCAAAGTATTCAAATCGTCATACAAGGTCAGATATAGTTGTTAGCAGAACTGTCTTCTCTGAGACCCATTAAAAAATTGAATACGATGTTTGGTATTGAAATTGCAATTCGGTAGTTGATAGCAATTCGATTATATCGAATATGATTCTTTTTTTTTTGTGTTGAAGAGGGGGCATGCTTTATGCACCGTGAAATAATCGTAGCGGAATGGTGAGTCCGACTCCTACTTTGTAGTATACGAACTAAAATACTTCCTATTCTTCTGCGAAATTTATTCCCCGGGATCGCTTTCGCACTACTTCAGGGAGGATCCCTAATAATTTGGTCAACAATGCTATATGCTTTTTGTAAAACCTGCGTCTGATGTGATGTATTGGAAGCGTTGATCAACTACTACAAAATCTGGAGTAATTCATTTTATGTACTGGTGTATGTTTAATTCAAAGATGGAGCGTAGCCCTGTATTCATTATTTCTAAAAAATAAATATTTATATTAAAATATTGGTTAATTAAAAATAGTTCCAACTAACTAAAAAAATTAAACAATTATTACGGGAAGGATAAATATTGCGTTATTTATTTTATGTGGAATATTTTAAAATTATAATATTTTAACTGATAAAAGTTTCTGTGTATTTTAAGACTAAGTTTCTCTGCAATATTAGGTAAATAGTGGTTATTGTTGTTGTTCTGGTTCTACTTTAGGTACTTTAGGCTTAGGCTTAATCATTTCAACGTATTCTTCATACATTATTTGTCCGTTATCATCTACAGTGGCTTCTGCTATCATATCGTCGGCCTGGTCTTCGGTTATCTTATCACCCAAATTACACATAGCATGTTTAAGTACGTCAGCTGATATATAGCCCTTTCCAACCGTATCAAATACACGAAAGGCGTCACGGATTTCTTGTTCGGGAGTGATAACCTTCACTTTTCGTGCCATCATCAATAGGAACAAGGGATAGTGAAGAATTCCATAACCCTCCGGATCACAATCGTGGATCATTTTTTGCATTTCCGCTGGGGTAGGGTAATGGCACAATGCACGTATAATGAATGGCAATTCCCTTATTGGAAGATAACCCATTCGGTCTTTATCGAACAGATTAAATGCAGTTTCAAGCTCCTTGGCTAGTTTTGCACTTATGCGTTCAGTCATCTTGGGTATTTGGGTACTTGGGTACTGATATTCCCAATAACCTGACAAAGTTTTCTAAATTTAATCTAATCAAGTTTCGCAAATTAATTAGTAGATTTAAATTTTAGAATTTAGAAAATTTTTTCATTTTTTTAGAGGTTATTGGGAAGCACTTAAATGTTTGAAAACAAAATTATAATTTTTATTTTTAATAACGTTACAATAAGAATCATTTTTATTTTTTACTTTTTACTTTTTACTTTTTGCTTTTGAAATATATTTCAAATGTAGCTTAGTTTACTCTAAAGTATTTCCATATAAAGAATATTGGAGCCTTCTTATCTCTTCAACACTATGAATCTGTGAATGGACTAAGCAATCTTCTGTTTTGAATGTCACATAAATTCCAATAATTTTTCCAAGTCTTTTGGTTTTATATTTTCTGCATTAAAATATGTTCTAAACAGCCAACAGTTATGAACAGTTACGATAGAGTTTTTATCTGATGTATACCCATACTTAATAAAATTCAATGTCTTTTGACTTGACTTGAACCCACTAAACCACCTGTTAGGAATAATAATTCAATGTCGTGTCAATACATGTATATATATTTAAGGAATCTATGATTGAACATTGAAACAACCATGGTATTACATGAAACCATTTACTTTAGATCAAAATTTAAAAAACCGGTGCCATAAGCAATTCAAAAAACTCTATGTCTGACCAAGGTTTAAGAGAAGTAGAATTTTAACTTAAGGAAAACAAACATAATTTAAGTAAATGAGACAAATATTCTTTTCTCGATAGATACTCGTAATTTTATGGTATCCATGACAAGAAAAAGAATTCTAGTCCATTGGGCTTAACGGATATTTTTTTAAAACTGCTTCCTTGAGCTCAATTTTTCTACAAAAACTGAAATCATTCTTGACTTATCCGCATTTCCACAAAAAATAGGCTAACGTAGTCTTTTGCACATGTGCTCTAATAACTTCAATCTGCAATCGTCTTGTTGAAACTAAAAGCAGACCTCGGCGTTGATCCGAGCTCTATTTAGAACGGCATTGATATTAACATTCTGATTTTCTTCATTTTTGAAGGAGTGCAGTTCTGATTATTACCATGTCCCGAAATTATGTGTATACATTTGTTTAATATAATAAAACCGAGAAAATATTTAAAAATTGAATGCATTGTTTTTATTGCAAATTATTTGATTTTAACAACTATACTTCTCTAGACTTATGTGTAGTAAACTCATATCATTTCCAAGACATTATATCAAACAGTCACACAGTCATAGTCACACTGTAGACTATCTATAATCGTACGAGTGTAATCATCAATGTGTCATGAATCCACGCCATCATTAACACACAAAAATAATCGCCAGCAATTTCGCTCACACCGAAATATAATAAACAAGCGAACCTGAATTTGTTACCTTAATTAAATTAATAATTGATTAAATTTCTATTGATTAGTTTCCACAATGTTTCCTGTCATTTAAGCAAACCCAAACAACTTAGGAGCACAAATTCCACAGTTGCAATACGGAAAAGTTCGCGCAAAGTCGCAGCAAGACATGTCAGTTGCTCAGTGGGTACGTAAAAAGACCGTCAATTTCGTGCTCCAATCCACTGTTTGGATCAGTGTTTGTTTGGGCTTACTGCCACTTCGGCACAATGCAAGGACGAAAAGGCTGGAGCTGTCCAACTGCGCTCTCCTATACAGCGTATGCATAAATTTGTTGACCATTAGCTTGATTAGTTTTACTTTACCGACGGACGCACGTAACCTGGAAATCGAGTTCTTTACAAAGAAGCCACTGAATGGACTTATAAATACTGTGCATGTGAGCTTAAGCATAGTAACGTTAATTGTTGTGCTCGTCAAAAATTGGACAGGACGACGCAGCGTGCAAATGGTGTTCAACGAACTGTTGGCACTGCAGCAGCAATATTTCAATAGCTCAACAACCCACGATTGGGATTGCGCCCGCTTCGATTATTATTTGCTTAGTAAAGCTGCGATTACGCTGGCACAGTCCTTATCCATGATATACACGTTGTACGGCGTCACTAGCTCGCCAAGTATTAGTTTTTTGATTATGATTTTGATGGTGATTGTCCTGCAGAATGTGCTCTTTTTTGTTGAAATGCATTATTTCATTGCTGTTCTGTACATTTATCGCTACTTTTGGTTACTGCACCAGCAATTCGAGTGCGTGAGACTCCAGCGGAACCAACCAAGTGCAGTAAGGAACGTTACTGCAGTTGGTATACAGAATTGTTTACACCCTGCCAAAAGTTTAGTGGAGGAATTCAACAGAATGACTGACATATATATACGCCTTATGTATGTATCTGCGAAGCTGTCCAGACTATATGAACAGCAATTACTAATGCTGATCGGTTCGTTCGTAAGTGCAAATGTGCAGAGTCTGTTTTATATATGCGTCTTCTTCAGTGGAAAAATAGTAGAGGTCACATTTGAAAATTTTTTTTACTTTTCGCAAGGTTTTATAGTTAATGTAATAGATTTTTGGATCAATATAACCGTATGCGAGCACACTTTACGCACAGCCAGTGAAACGTTGTCTTTCCTACAAATCTTTGGAGAATACACAAATCTAGACAGGGAAGAAGCACAAAGCGTAAGTATTATATATACATACCTATACCACATAATAATTGCATTTATTCATTACAGCTTGAAATGTTTTCCATTTTATGCTGCAGCCATACTTTAGACTTCCGTATCTGCGATTTCTTTGAACTAAATCACAGCACAGGCCACAGGGTACTTATGACTGCAATACTCTATCTCGTATTCCTGGTACAGTTTGATTATATGAATCTGTAAAAACAACAAAACATGTTTAAATTTAAATTGTTTGAGTAATAATAAGTACATTAATATAATATCAGGAGTGTGATTCCATGTTAAGTTACCATACAAAACTACGACTCAAAACACTTACTGTTAGTATAAAGACCAGATTATAAAAATCCTCAGTTCTATTTAATTTTTGTAAAGCTAAGCATAAAGCAAAACAGAAGCTTCAAATCTGAAAACCGAAACTATTTCTGCATCATATCTCAAGATACCTAAACAGTAGACCTTGACAGAAGACAGCTGGAGTAAGCAGATGTAACGCGACGAAGGACAAAGTTAATCACCTGCAGCAGTAGCGGAATGGAAGTCTTATTTGACTAATAGGGATCCTACCTCGAAGTAATACTAACGTAGTCCCGGGGTAGGACAAGGTTCCAGGAATGAATATTTTAGAGGATGTGTTTTAGTTCGTGGGAGTCGGGCACTCACTTTCCGGGGCGCCAGATTGTGGTTAATGCGTAAAAAGCGTAAAAAGAAAAAAAGAAACTTACCTGTTTGGAGCCTATATAAATAGTTATTTTACTAAACAATTGTTGCACCTATTATATATATATGTATATATACTCATATACGAATGGGCTAACAGTTTGCTTTTTTGATTGATAAAATTACGTTTAATATTATAACTTTAATCTCCATTATTTTAATTTTTTTTTAATAACTTCATTAATTTCTATCATTTTCAAAACAAACAGATCCATTTTGTAAAACAGTTCTGCACACCAGATTTTTTCAGATTTGCAACTTCAAGACTTACTATTATCATCGTATTGCCGAAGACCCTTCTCTCAAATTTTTTTAATCTTTTACGCAAACAGAAGCAACTGGACAATAGAACCAGGAAATTGGAACTCAGTAGTGTGAGCTGGCACGTTATAATGATGCAGAAATTATTGACGTAGTTCCTTTATTCCTGGTGTTCCAACAAATTTTCGAAACCTTTTGGTAAGCAGGTTTCAATGTATTATTTCGCAGAAACCATCTGTCCAGTGTTCAAAGGATTAACAAGTGAATTTTGATTAAGATTTTCGAATATTTTCCAAATAGAATTTTTGAGCCCGCTAACACTATTAAATAATTATTTATTCAATATATGGGATGAAAGAAGTTTCAAAAAAAATAATACACATTAAACATTTAAAGTGATTTAATTTATTTCGAATTTTGTAACAGCCAAAAATGTGTGTTGTATCTTGATGGATATTGAAGCAGTTTTGAATTCAATTTAACTCTCTTCAGTCAAAATATCAGCCAGTTTTTTGTAGTCTAATTCTTTGTCATTCTGAATGCCTGTTTCGCGTATTATTTCATCGACTTCTTCATTTGACATTCTTTCGCCTAAATTTGTCAGCACATGTCGAAATTTGGTCATTGATATGAAGCCACTTTGTTCTCTGTCAAAAACACGAAAGGCTCTGCAGAGTTCTTCAGCCTTCGAAATGGATTTAGCACTGCGCGCCGATTCAACCAGAGAACCGCTGTGGTCTAACAGACCCCCGTCCAAATGATCAATCTTCTTAGTAAAATTTGCAATTAGATAGCCTAAAGGACTCTGCCTCAAAAAAGATATCACCGTTCCTAATTGCTCAGTAGTTATCTTATCGACAACATTTTTATCAAAACTGTCAAAAGTATATATAACTTCCCCGATTTGATTTTGTGACAAAAGCTTGAACAGGTGCTTAACTTGCGACTTCTTTAAATTGCATTTTATTGAAATCTTATTTATTTGGTCTTTATTACTTGCAGATGGTTTATAATTCATAGATTGCACACCCAACTCATATTTACTTTTATTTTCGTCAAGTTCATTTTTGTTATAGGACTTCTTATTTTTTCTGATCAAAAAAAGAAATTCCTTAAAACCAGTATCGTTGTCGCATTCAGAGTCAACCTTCTGTAAGTTTTCTAATTGATCATATATGGATTTGAAGTTCAGACAACACATCACGTTCATGAATTGTCTCTTTGTGATTGGGGTATTGGTGGCTTTATTGAACATATCGGGGTATGGTGTACATTCAATGATTTTTTTATGATAACAGGACACAGGCATTTGTGAGTTGTTTGTTTTCTCTATCTTATCTTCAATTTTATGCTCAAGATGTTCTTTTTTACAGTCCAATAACATTCTATTTTCTTTCATTGGAAGAAGAATTTTTTTACGATCCATTTCTCCACTAAATTTTGAATCAATGTCTTGCACCATTTCCAATTGAATATCTGTAGGCTCTTGATCCAGACAACGCGTAATGACAGAAAACTCTTCGTTTTTATTTGTCCCGCAGCAATTTTTATCAAATACTTCGATTGTTGCTGAATATTCTTTCTGATTTTCTTTCAGAATCAAATTTTCAGATGTCTTTGATGTGGCCACATTCTCTAACTTGACTTCAATTTTATGATCAGAAAGTTCTTCCTTACTACTTAATAACTTTTCATTTTCCTTCATTAAAAGAAGAAATTTAATTAAATCGATTTTTCCCTCAAACTTTGAATCAATCTCTTGCATTATTTCTAACTGCTTCTCTGTAGGAGTAAGATTCAGATAACACATAACAGCAAGAAATTCTTGAGTTTTTATTGTCCCGCAAGAATTTATGTCGAATGCTTCAAATGTAGCTGTATATTCTTCGATTTCTGTTTGAGTTAGAGGTTCATCAAGTTCTATTTGAGTAAGGGGTTCAAACGTACTTGATGTTTCTATATAATCTAAATTACTTTCAATTGTATGCTCAGGGAGTTCTTCTTCACTGCTGGATAACTCTCTATTTTCTTTCATTAACAGAAGAAATTTATTTAAATCAATTTTTCCCCCAAAATTTGCATCAGTTTCTTTTACCATTTCCAATTGAACTTCTGTAGGATTCAGACCCAAATGACGCATTATAACAAAGAATTGTTGGATTTTTATAGACCCGCAAGAATTTTCATCAAACATTTCAAATGTTGTTGTATATTCATCGATTTCTTGCTGAGTTAAAGACTTACACACTTTCAATGTGGTCATCTTCTCTATTTCATCCTCAATTGTGTGCTCGGGGAGTTCTTCTTTACTGTCAGATAACTTTCTATTTTCTTTCATTAACAGTAGAAATTTATTTAGATCCATTTTTCCTCCAAACTTTGTATGAGTTTCCTGCACCATTTTAAATTGAGCTTCGGTAGGATTCAGACCCAAATGACGCATTATAACAAAAAATTCTTGGGTTTTTATTGACCCACAAGAATTTTGATCAAACATTTCAAATGTGGTTTTGTATTCATCGATTTCTTTTTGAGTTAAAGATTTACATATTTTCGATGTGGTCGTCTTCTCCATTTTATCCTCCTTTGTTTCTTCTTTACTGTCAGACAACTTTCTATTTTCTTTCATTAAGAGTAGAAATTTATTTAAATCGATTTTTCCCCCACACTTCGAATGGGTTTCCTGCACCATTTTAAATTGAGTTTCTGTAGGATGCAAACCCAAATGACGCATTATAACAAAAAATTCTTGGGTTTTTATTGACCCACAAGAATTTTCATCAAACACTTCAAATGTAGTTGTATATTCATCGATTTCTTGCTGAGTTAAAGACTTACACACTTTCAATGCGGTGGTCTTCTCCATTTCATCCTCAATTGTGTGTTCAGGAAGTTCTTCTTTACTGTCAGATAACTTTCTATTTTCTTTCATTAAGAGTAGAAATTTATTTAGGTCGATTTTTCCTCCAAACTTTGAATCAGTCTCTTTCAGCATTTTCAATTGAACTTCTGTAGGACGCAGATCCAGCCAACGCATTATAACAAAAAACTCTTGGGTTTTTAATGTCCCATAAGAATTTATGTCAAATGTATCGAATGTAGCTGTATATTCATCGATTTCTTTCTGAGTAAAGGGTTTAGACGCTTTCGGCACGTTCGGCGTGTTTGTCTGCTCTATCTTATCTTCATGTGTACACTCAGAGAGTTTGTCTTTACTGTCCGGTGTCCTTGAACTTTCTCTCATTACTAAAAGAAACTTTTCCAAATCTAGTTTTCCATTATATTTCAAATGTATCTCCTGCACCATTCTTCGCTGAGTTTCTGTTGGTGTTAGATCCATACAACGCATTATAACAAAAAACTCTTCAGTTTTTATTACACCAGATTCATTTGTTGCGAACGTTTCGAAAGTAGCTGCATATTTGTCGATTTGTGCTTGAGTTAAATGTTTGTACATTTTGGGCACTATTGATGTTTTCAAAGAATAGTTGACAAAATGTTTGCCCCCCTTCAATACCACAAGATAAGACTGACAATTTACTAATACTAATGTAGGGACCAAAAATTTTCTATCATTTTGCTTTCAAACCAACATCAAGAAATTTATTTAACTTCATTCTTTTCATATAGAATGTCGAACGTTACTAAGTTTTCTTAAACTTAAACATACTGCATCAGGTGAAAAGTCTCAAAATTAATGTATAGATGGCGCCCCCAACTGTTTTAGAAAAATAAAGAAAAGTTTCCAAAAATAGCTGATACTCTAAACATATCAAAGGAAAGTGTTGAATTTATCTCACATTCACTTTTGTCCATGAGAAAAATTTATTTCGAAATGGACATGGCATCAACATGTGACAATGGATGACATACTGATCCACTACTTCACTCTAGAATCAAATCGACAGTCAGATAAATGGACACCAACCGATGATAGCCATCATCTGGTAAGGTTATGGCATCTTTATTTTAAAATGATCATGGTATAGTATAGATCATGGTATACCTTGAAAAAGGGAAAACCATCAATAACGTATATTATTGGTGCGTTTGAGAGACGAGATCGCAGAAAATAACCCCAAATGAAGAGGAAAAAAGTTCTTTTACACCGAGACAATGCAGAATCTGATTGTCGCTGGTTACAATGGCGAAATTGCACAAACCTTTTTAAGATTTTTGTTTTCATCCAACGTATTCGCCATATCTGGCCCCCAGCGATTATTATATGTTCGCAGACTTTTGAAGCGCCTATGAAAAAAGTGTAAAAAATATTTGTCCAATAAAGAGGTTATCACCGAAACAAACTTCTTTCATTTCTGAACCCGAAAACAAGTCCTACTACATAAATGGCTTCGAAACGCAAGAGAAGCGCCGGAATGAATATTTTAAATAAGTTTTCTCATAACGTATTCAAAGTTAAGAAAAGTGACTTAAAAATTAGACTCTATCGGAGGTAATAGGGTGAAGACTCAAATCGTTACGACATATTTTCGGGTTAAAAATTATGTTTTAAAAGAAAACCTTATTTGATTTTGGAGATATCTAAATAAAAATATATTTTGTGGATTAACACATTAATTAAAAAAAATGCTTTATGCACGCTCAATGTTGATAATAAAGTTTCGAAAATGTATGTTAAGTTTGTTTCTGATAGAGAATATGTTATATATTTTAAGAGTTTAAAAAAGATTTTTCCACAGTCCAAGTTTGTCTTCCGATAACGGTAATCATGATATATTTGAAAATATCAACTTTGCTCTCTGAACACATATGCATTTGTTTTTATGATTAACACTCTCTTTCTTTCTTTACTTAAGCGCGGTGTAGACTATTATAATTGAATGTCATTCAAGTTGCACTCTCGCTTGCTTAAATTTATTCCAGCGACCGAATTTGAACATGCTCACATTTAAGACGTGTCATTCAAGCAAAATTTTTGAAGATAAGGGTGTTTACGCACGCTGTGTTCCACAAAAATATACTCTTGAGTGACAAATGCAAGCTTTTGGGTGACAGTCTATCACTCACAACATATTGGCGAGAGGCTGAATGATGTACCAACATGTTGGTTGAGTGTCATTCAAAGGTGCAGACTACCATTTTTGAATGTCATTCTTAGATTTTCTCCCTTGAATAACACTCAAAAATAATAGTCTGCACCGCGCTTTAAACAAAAGTGTTCTTTGATTCAAAGTATACGAGTTAATAACAAAAGTTTGTTGTAGACCAAACGGCTACGCAATGCTTATATTTCAATATTTTTTAACTTATTGTTATAGATAATTTCTTAGCTTGGTGTGGTTCATGCCAGTAAAATATATGAAGAAAGAAAGAAGCTACAGATTGCTTATTATCCAGTTGTCCAGTAATTCAATGTACTACAACATAATGACCTGAAAGAGTCACATTTCAATACTGAAGTCAAAACAGTTAATAATGCAACGATAATTTGACTTTCAAAAGAATATTATATGTAAAAAAGAATAATGTAAATATCATGATATAGATTAAGTAAGATTTTTATTTTAAAATACATCAAGCTTTTGAACCGCTTAATTCATTTTACAAATAAACAATCAATGATTGAAATACATAATTACATGAAATTTTTAGGCGTGTTGGCAAAACTATGTCACTTGGGAGCCATCATAGCAACTAGCTTCTTGTAGTCAATTAGTTCAGTGTTCGTAATCTGGGCCTCGCGTATCAACTCCTCGATTTCATCATTAGTAAGGTTTTCACCAAAGTTGGTCATAATATGTTTAAGTTCGGCAAGCGTAACGAAACCTGTGCCATCTTTATCAAAAACACGAAAAGCCTTACAGATGTCCTCTTCTTTATCTGGTTCCTTCATATTGCGTGCCATCACAACAAGAAATCCATGGAAATCAATAATACCAGTGCCATTTGGATCAATTTCCTGGACCATTGCATCCAACTGGGCCTCAGAAGGATTCTGATTCAGACAACGCATAACAATACCTAATTGTTGCGTGGTGATTACTCCTTTAGCATCTTTATCAAATACGGAGAAGGCGGCCGCAAATTCATCTATTTCCTCCTGTGTTAGAGGTTCAAATATTTTAGACATTTTTCTCTGAATTATGCAATGCAGTAACGTTACATTGATTCCCAAACCAAGAACAAACGTAAATTTTTTTAAATTTGGTGGTATTTCCAAAACGAAGAACTCTAATTTAATATCTATTCTGCGAAAAAAATATATTAAAGAGAATACCAATCAATTTTTTTTGCTTTTCAAATTAATTTCAAAAGCAACTCAGTTTTTCTAAAACTTGATCGATATCAATAGTAATCTGAGATTAAAACGTAATAAAATTGTAAAAGCAACAAAAATTGACTTCTGAATGTATGATTCACATAAATGAATAAATAAATAATTAAAAAGTTTCAGATTAGCACCCTTCATAAATCAAAACCCCTCAAAGACCACACAATCTCAATGCGGACTTCCTCTACCGCGGTTTCCACCTGCGGGCATTGAATCAAACACTTTTCTAGCCGGAGCACTTTCATCCATTTGCAAGACATGACCAAGCCAGCGCTGCCGCTTCAATCTCAAATTGGGATGACTATATTTGGCGTAATTATTTATATTGTATAAGTGAGCAAACTAAAGCGTTTCATATACAAAGTATATAATCTGAGTAATCAATAATTGCGATAAATATTCTGAGTGAAATCGAATGCCTCCGAAGACTGTAAATCATTCACACTGTTGCAGCAGTTCCTTTACATTTCCGCATAGATAGCAGTTCCCTTTTAAAAAGACGCGATATCCCTGCCTTTAAAATTGTTCTGAAAATTTAAAAGAATATATGTTAGTAATATGATAAATGCAGTTCCTTGTCATAAAGTATAAAAGTTAACTTACATATGTCAATCTAAAATAGGAGCTTGACAGCCAAAATGTAGGAGCTTGACAAAATCTGTAAATCAAGAGATTGCACTATAACTTGCGTTATATATAAATTTGAACCCATCAGAATAAAATTTGCTGTTAAAATTATATTAAAATTCGTTCTAAAAATATTTATGGGACTAATTTACGTATACATTGTTGGGCAATATTAAATCACAATAAATAAATCCTCACATAAAAGCAAATCAGCACATACATACAAAAAATCACCGCATCGGCAGAGATAAAGTCCATATAATTAAAAATATAAGGGATAGCTGGAAATTAGAAACGGCAGAGAACATCGAAATACAAAAACATCTGGCCACACCTCTGCTTAACGGCGATAAGGTCAATGTATCATCATGGCTTTTTAAATACATTTTAAAAACAAATCCAAGCAAGGTACCAGTTCACCGACCTACCTGCACATAATCCTACTGATTAAAATTAAATATAAGACATGTAATGAGTGTAAATAGTTCATAAGTTCGATGTTTTTAATATTAGGAATTCTCCGGATGAAAACAAAAGCAAATTTGCCGAAATACGTCTATACGTAATATACTAATTCAGACGCCAATAAAATCCTAAAAAAAAAAATAGTTTGGACGTAACAACTCAAAAATTAAAAAAAAAGAATATGATATTAAAACTTTGGAAATAGGGAATTTAAAAAAGTAGTTTCAAAAGCGATCGGGTTTCATCCCAAGCTCACTCGTACACACAAATGACAAAATGCCACCACTACTCTCATTAGCCAATAAATCGATCCATATTACAAACTATAAAAACATTTAAAAATATTTTCAATTCTCTAAGGAACATTAAATCGTTTCGTTATATTCAAAAAGATTGGATTAGCACCAAACCTAGTCCCAAACAAAGAAATCTGAAAACGTTTGACCCGAATAGGAATTTCAGTTTTCATTGAAAATAAACTTCTTTATCCAATTTATGTGGACCGTGAAGTGATGGACGAAACAATTTTTTTTGCTAGTCACTTTAGACACCGAAATGGTGGGACAAGTAATAAGCATTACTAGACTTATTCTTCCAAACACTTTGTTACAAGATTATATAGCTCACCAATGGAAACGGCATCCACATTCAATTGCACTAGAAGCTCCCTTTTCAGATTGAAATAAAAAAGAAATATCTATTTGAAATCCAAATTAAAAGATAGGGATTTATTTTTTAAATGCGAATAAATCAATATTTCTTAAAAAGCACGCCTGCTAGGATTGTACTATGCTTCTTATCAGTTTCAATCAATGTACCAATCGTTTTAGTATCAAATTGAAAATTCATTTACCTTAGATATCTGTCAGAGAACAAAAAATCATTAAAACAGTTTCTCTGTACAGTAAGGTTTGATTTTTAACTACAGATTTTGGTCTCTAGTGCGCCTTGTGACAACTATTTTCGATTATTGTTATCGATAAACACAGCAATATATTTTATCGCGGATTAGTTTAAACGCGCAGAAAATAAAGTAGTTTGCGAAACTTCAACGAAGAGATACCGCTCTATTGCACATAAACACATATATTTTTATAAAATGATTTATGAGGAGCTCTTTGCAAATAAGGATGACTACGAAAAGAACGTCCATTGGGTGCATTGCCACCTTTGCTATGAATTGTACATAAAGAGGGAACGTACCTTTTTTTTACACGCTTGTGATCATGTAACTTGCGAAACGTGTTCCACAGCATCACCAACTTCGGTCAATTCGGTCACTTCGGTTTTGTCAGACCGGAAATGTCCGGTTTGTGAGGAAGTAGTAAGCATCAGCGAGATAAATAATGACATGCCGCAGCAAATGAAGAAACTCTTTCATCCGAATCCCTGGCAAGACGAGATGCCTGCCTTCCATGTTTTGCAGTTTCAGCAGAAGCAACAAATTCACTTGTACCAGGGCATGATAGAAATAGTAGATATAATTTGCAAAATAAATGTATTTGTGCTCTGCTAATCTTATCTAAAATTTTTAGGCACACAAAATAATGGCAATGGAGGATGAAATAGCTGCATTACGCGTTGATGATAAACCAAACCAGGATGAGTTGGATAAGTTGCGCCTCGAGCGCAAAGAGCAGGAACGCGAAATGTGCCAGATTGCGAAGAGGCCCAAAACCGCGGAAACGGCAATGTAAGTTTCCAAGCTAATAAGATTTACATGGGATTCCATAATATTTCTAATGTTGGCAATGCTTTCTAGGACTGAGGAAGTACAACAAATGGGTGCATGCAGTTCAGCAACTGAATCTGGCAATGGTTGTGTACATGATGATCCAATAGGTGAGCAGCTTGGGGATATACAGCCGTCTGGACGTTCAGACCAGTATATATCAAATCCGTTTGAGGCGAACGTTGATAGTCTAAAGCAGCCTGCAGACTCTGAGTTTAATTCTTAAACATTTAATGTAAGTTTTTTTTTTTTTTATTTACTCTAATACAGTGTTCGCTCGAGATTTTAACACATAATAGAGAATCCATGCTTCTTAAGTAGAAATTTATTTCAAATCTTCCAAATGACTAAATTAGGTAAACTTTTGACGGCTAAGACCCTTTGAGATCGCCTGTGACTAAAACTAAGCTCATCGTGGAACACATTTTGATATGCTTTCAATCTACGTGTGCCCCATTGTTAACGATGACTTTGATAATGCAGTAATTTTAGTCTAACTGTCAGTGGTGAAATATTCTTGCCTTTGCTTGTTGCTGCTTTCGTCTTCATTAAGCAGAATCTCCAGCTTGCGTAGTTCAATATCTTTTTCTCACCCAAGCGATTTCGCAAGATTAAGAGATTTCGTCAGCCTCGTCTTCATACATATTCTCTATTCTGTATTTCGTTGAATTGGTTGGTTTTATCTGATTTAATTACGTGTCCTCAGTATTTCTTAAAGTTATACGCGTATGCAAGTGTATTTGAATGTCCATATAATATTTCCAGTTCATAGTTATGATATTGGCATTAGCTTCCGTCTTCTTGTGTAGCCCCGATTCTTTTCCGATAACTCTTTCACTTATATATTTGGAATTTTTCGTTTATTACAATTAACTTCCAAACTCATTTACTGATTTTGGACACGGGATGATTATTTTGTGCTTTAGATGTTTTTTTATTTCGAATAGCGTTTGGAAGGATATTTTCAAGATTGGGGTAAAGTTGCCTGTTCTGAAAAAATCTTTTCATTATGCTATTTGTAGCTTTCTAACAATAGCTTCATATCTATTAGTTAGAATAAAAGTGACTTATAGTTTTGAACCAAAGTGGATGTTATAGTGGATGTTTTAGTGATCAGAATAGGCGGCATTACTTATATTTCTTCCCGGATGTCCCAGAAATATGAATCGTCGCGTACTTTATTATTCATATATACATATATCATATCCTATTATATATATTAATTTTTTTTTTCTTATAATCATTTGATAACTTAATATAGACTTTTTTATTTTTTCAGATACAACTTTTATTAATAAAATTGTGTTCATTGTTGTGTGCAATTTTTAAATAAATATATTTTGTACACGGAAACCTTTTTTTGACTTGGACCAAGGACTTCATCTTAGGCTTCATCTCATCCAACTTTTCCAAATCGCATTTTAAAGAAATAAATAAATAACAATTTTTTTCTTGAGTTTTAAGTAGTTGTCTAACAGTAATGTAGAGTAATAAAAAATAAGTAATATATATATAATATATATATATCTTAGCTTATTATTTGGAACATATGTATTTTGCCGTCCGAAGTTTGGTTGTGTTTCCAGAAAGCAGTTGGCTTTAATGTCTAGTTTAGTAGAGACTTCAACCAATTGTGCTTCCACCAAGTCAGAAGCCGCAATTTCATTAGGTAGCTTTTAAGTTGACTTTAGTTATAAAATATAATATAATACGAGTGTGTAATAACCTAGAAGGAGCAATGTAACACTCACAGTGCCGAATTAGACATTTAATTCTACATTTCTACATCAAATCAAAAATTCATATGACAGCTAATGATATAGTTCAGCAATCTCATTGACTAACTGCTGGAACTAGTAAAAAGTGTTGAGAAACAACCACTCATGTCTCCATGGATTAGTGCAAGCTGTACCCAAACTTAAATTCCTGTTCTTCACCAGAGAGAAGGTACAATAGGTAAATGCAACTGAACAAATCCTAGGATGGACAGACGGCATTTGAAGGCTGCAGTTACAGTGTTTGAGAAGAGATCTTAAAATGAAATATTTGCGGAAGAAATTTGTTCATAAGATTGGTTGGACCAATACTTGAATGATGCTACATTCTGAAGGTATTTTAATACTAAGCATTTAAGTATAAAAAGTCTTATGATAAACATATATTATAGATTTAAATTTTTATTTTACTTTAATCGATAATGAATTACTTATTCACAGACTCACGAATAGTTTTTGTTCCAGGCGATAACAGCAATGACATCACCAACATAAGGCCACATGTGTCCGTTTGAGACGAATATAATGCTGAAGATGCAGCCAACATTATAAACTGATCTTAAATACAACAGAAAATAGAGCTGGCATAAAGCTTATTTAGTATCCTTTTAAACCCAGTCATTCGTCTCACTTTCTAGTGCCAATATTTTCACATCTGTTGACAGTTATCTGACCTAGGCACCTCGAGTAAATCTGAAGGTATGTCCTGGGTAGACTGAACTCAAAAGTTTAGTTGTATGTAGACAATAAAGTTGATTATTTTGATACACAAAATCGTTAAAAATTCGTCCGTTCTTCCAACTGAACTAAGAACAACAGATAAAAGCAGTTAATATGTCGAACAACGTCATTAAGCTCACAAGATATTACGCCGTAAGTATTTTTTTATTTATTTATTAATAATGAGAGATTGATACAGGTCTGGACACTGAGGCCTTTAGCTGTTAGACCGTAAGTATAAACTTCTCTATGAGTTGAACAATACTGATACCATATCATACGTAGTATTTACAGGTTACCTACCCTGATTAAAAAAGATATTTCTCAACAGCATGTGGACCTGTTAACTTTCTTATATTGAATAATCCTCGATTAGTAATGTCCAATCTGAAATTATCGGCGATCAGGCAAGTTGTGATGCTTAATGTTTAGTCTGCCTACATATTTTTATCTTTTCATATTCAACACAATCGTACCATCACATCTTCATCAGAGAGCTACGAATTTCATCATCACAGTACCGTGCTATATTGAAGCATTCAAGAGAAAAGTTCTTTGGAAGATAAATTGTCGCTTACGCATTGGTAACGTTTATCGTATGAAATGATGAGCTGTGTGAATTATATCCCAACAATGACATAATACGAATATTAAAAGTTAACGGCCTACGAAGTTGGCCCAGTTATAAAAATGTTTGGCTCTTTTCCTGCTGGCGGAAAGCACGGTAAATGACGTCTGTATCTTCGGCACAAAAACCAAGTGACAAATGATTTGAAACCATTCCCTGCTGCCAACTGTGGACAGCAAGCGGTTGGTGTAACTAGCCAGGGGGAGATAATGGAAGCCCCCCGCTACTGAAAGCTCACAAGGACGACACAAATCTGTCAAGCCAACAAAGTAGGTATGAATTATTTCAATGTTCTACAGACACTAACTGAAGTTTCAGTCATTTTATTTTCATTTTAACCTCATCTCTGTTTGTCTCCGTCTTTCTTTATTTTCTACTAGTGAAGTTACTAAATAACTGGGGACTGTGTCATATGTATAACCAACGCAAAAGTTAACATAATGTACCTACTGGTATGAACCAGATATTGTAAGAAGTTTTATTAAAGGATCTCCAATTAGAATAGTGGTAAAGTGCTGATGATATTAAAACGACTTCATAGCAGCAGTTGTGCAGCGCACCAATTTCCAGTGATATCACGAGGAAGAATTGTCGACCGCGGCCTATACGATATATTATGTTTATACATATTGTTATACCCACTGGTTATTTGTTTTCTAAACAGAGCGAAATTTATGCATTAGTTGGAGACAAAATAAACGCCACAGGAATATGTATGCAACCGCAGCTGGACAAAATAATAGATGAAACGATAGTTTTCAGCGACATTTTGTAGCGATAAATCCATCGCATTCATAAAAGTTTGCTAGTTGAGATATTGTACCTTTCGTGATATAGCGTTTATAGAGCATTTATATATCCAACTTAATTATTTACGGTTAAGAACTCTCCATCGAGATATGTTCTGTTGATTATCATACAGCTGTTTGCAGTGCAGATGTTTGTCACGTTGCTAGAGCGTCGCTTGCGCTGCACCAAGACTGTCTAACTATACGCTCCGAAATCAGTCGTCAGCTTCGAAGCCCAAGTGTCTTGTAAGCGACACTCCCATTGATTCCCGGACAAGCAGATACACAAAGCAGGCTGCAAAAAAGGCAATAATGACCATTCTGCTTCAAGCAAAGCAGACTGTAGCACTCCAATAATAAAGAGAACATATTTAGGCTTCCCAATCCGGAATTAATAATCTAAACAAACACATTAATTAAAAAGCGCAAATTAATTTAACATATTATCATATGTCAAAGCCATACCAGAGCAATTTGCTTTGGAAGAAATTCAAAATAACACGCCAAACAACTTTTTATTTCTAATTCGATCTTACATATATTTATATTATATTTTAAACATATTTTTTGTGTTATTACATTTACAATAAAATAAACAAATAAATAAGAATTTTGAAGAAATGCGAGCGGCCGAAGAGAAGCTACAAAAAACAGAATTCCAAGTTAACAGTAGTGGCTAAAAAATGTGTGTATATTTTTAATATATTGTATATAGAAAATAATAGAGTTTTATGTGCAAGTAATAAGACATAAATATATTAACATTCGTTTTATAATTATTGTTTTGATAAAAATTTCTTAAATATTTTATTATGATTATATAACTACTTATTTATTCATAGTGATTATTTGCTTGCGTGTTAAGCACTAAAAATGATTTGCATGCTTGGTAATAATTTTTATAATATCTGAAAATAATACAAACTTGCAAATCCAAAATTTATTGATAAACTATTACTATTATTTGTAATAGTCGTATCATAATGTGTAATATTGATAATGATAAACGACTTTTATTATTATATGAATTACTGTTTATCGCAATGCAAATGTTGTTGCAATTGTACAATCAAATCAAGTTCCTAGATTTATTATACATAAAACATAGACTGATTCTTGAAATTTTTATTGAATAAAGCAATAAGAATATCGAGGAGGTTAATTGGTTTGTGTTAAAAACGAACAAAACAAAACTGAATGTTCGTTTGTTAAAATACATTAAAATTAAAAAGTTTAATAAATATTTTGAAAAATAAAGGCTGCTATTCGCATATCTGAATCTTTAATATCTGATTAGATAGTTTTAGATTAAATTAAATAGAAAAATAGATTAAATAGACTGATTAGATAGTTTTACTTTAATAATTTGTAAATGTACTTGTGCTGCTTTATCTCAGTTTGCTAAAATGTTATATATTGAGTTTTAATATAAATTATTTAGCACACATTTAACGCATTATAGCAATTTAGCACATATGTAACACTTACAAATAATGCATTTTGATAATGTCAATGAATTTTGAGCACAAGTAAATAAGAATTCTCTTAAAATTAGTCATTTTATAATTGCCAGCACAATATATAGTTCTGATTAAATACATCCAAATTACCAAATTTATTAAATTCGTTATATTCACCTTTATATGGCAATAATCATTTTTGGCTGAAGATATTTACATTTGCATGTAGGTTTATTACCGCGAGAGCGCGCGGTGCACGTTTGCTTAGCAACGGTAGTGATTGGCAACGCATTGTGTATTTAACAGAAATGTCAACAAGCAAAAACAAAAAACAAAGACTTGACATGGCTGTCACTTTAGCTGCTACATTCATTGCACATAGTTTGCTTGATTGGTGTGCGTGGGGAGACGTTGCATAGCAGAAAAATAATAATTGTAATCAAAAAGAGGGAGAGCAATTTTTATTATAAATATTTTATATAAAGTGTACTTGTAGTTAATAATAACACATAATCTACAAAAACAAACATGACTGATGTAAAAAATGATATCGATAGCGACTTGGACCAGAATTATTCACTCAACAGCAATGCAGATCCTAAAAACATGCAAGAGCTAACAATTTATGTGAGTAAATATTAAACATTTTTGTGATTTGTTGTTTTCTTTGTTCACTAATAGTAATTCTATATTTTTGAGTTATTTGCATTAGGTTTGGTATGCGTGTGTGTACTTGTTTGTGCGCGATTAATAACATTTCGCGTTCTCCGTTCTGTGGCCTGCGGCCTGTGGCCTGTCAAATGCAGCGCATTTTCGCAGTGCCAGGCGAAAGAATACTCCCATTGTAATTTTCTGAGTTTTGTGTATTAAAGCTTTTTTAATTATTTGCTTATTTAAGTCCACTTATCATTATAGCAATGTTCATGCGGACGCACAGCAGCTTGGCATGGGTGTCGGCATGGGTGATCAATGCGCTTCAAAACGCCACAATGCCCTGCCTCAGATGTCCAGTCTATTTTGTCAGAGCACTTCTTTGGGGTTTTCGACCGCCAGATCAACGACTCAAGATAGATTATCGCAGAAGTAACTTACTTTTATTTTTATGACATATGCAGACAGTTTATTTTAGAACTTGCCTGCTCTTGCATTCGGTAGTATAACTACATTCATCTATACTTCGATTTACTTCAACTTTTGCAGCCCCAAGTATTTTGTCGACGTTAGCAACGGAAAATGTTTGCTGTTGCCATGCCTTCCATGCGGTTCCAATAGCTGCAGTGACACGGCACGTACATCGCAACGTATCGCTGATATTTATGCAAAATATTTATTTAATGCATCCATCTGTGTAACGAAGTTGTTTTAGTGGCAACAACATGGATGGTTGCAATATTGGATTGTTTAAATGCTTCGGGTGTGTCCTTGACGTGACTCGATACCTCCTGGCTTAGTGTGAATATCGAAAGAGAAACAACTGTTCTTCTTCCGTCTCTTCTTTGAACAAATGCTGCGTTTTGTTAATGAAAGCATAATGTACCGAAATTTATTTATTATTTTTTTTTCAACTGCTGAATTGAGAATTCAGTGACTATATTCGTATATAATCGCTTATCCTTCCGAATTTTGTGATTGCTTTTCCCATTTTGCTTAAATGCTTTGATTTTTCTTTTGAAGGAAGATTACAAATACTATTGAGATGATTCATTTTTCTGTTTGTTATTAAAATAACTTAAATATAGTGCAGTTTTCTCCAATTCAATTATGTGTAGAACGTGAAATCTAGTCAAGGAAATCACTAGATCTATATTGTGCAACAAACAAAATGAATATCTCCTTCTGTGGCATCGTTTTTCGATAATAGAAATCTTCATCTATCACCAAATAAATCCTCAGCCACCCTCTTTACTTCTTGGACTAAACAAGTATCTATAACTCTGCCCATAAATATCGGTGAATTCAGGATCCCCGCCACCACCAAATCTTAAAGCCGGGGTGTCGTACTCGACAGTATACTGACCTTTTCTGTACATGCCTCTGCTATGTGTGATCGGTAATAGATCGATCTTTGACAGTCTTGTCATCATACTATATAGTCTTAAAGTAACCTAGTGCTGACTGTTTTTATCAGTTGCAAATTAATATAAGTTGGTCGTCGATTTCATATATCCCAGGTTTGGCGTCTGTTTTCTCATTAATATTTTGCAATATGATTTTGTGCTGATTACTAATGACTTCCAATGAAAATTTGTGCTTACGATAATTTATATATAAGTAAGTCTAATCTGTTCAATTTTACAATAATTAAATCTGCCAGACACCAAAAGTCTGTTGTGCCTGAATCACCTGTCACCTCGTTGTCTTTCAATAACATACTTTCTGGTTTTAATAATATCTTTTGCTGACCAAATGCCAGATAGTAAGATATAAATTCGGATTATATATTTTTATATCGGTCTTTTACGGGATTTTATCTATTATTACTTTAACATATGGCAATATTTGTAGATATGGTATTGGTATATTCTATTCTGTTTAGAACGCTTCACACTGTTCTAGCTTCCAACTTCGAACGAAAACACTTAGTTAGTATTGCAGCCCATGGAGATTTATAAAGCAAAAAATATAAAAGGCAGTGTTGCGGTTAGAGTTGGCATTAGTGAGTGGTCTAGTGAGACTTAATTGAAACTCTTCTGGGTGGAGAGGACAAACCTGCCCACTTTAATAAGTCGAAACCAAAGATAAATTGAACTCATATTAATATGTGTATTAGGATATGAGAACAGATGAGCGACGTCATGAGGAGTAGAGCTTCAGTTAGTGCAGATATCGGGCATCCCCAAATTTATCCGTACTTGACTTTAGTTTATTTTGGCAGCTTAACTATAAATACTAGTCTTTAAAAATGTTTAGTCTATTTCTGGTATCAGTCTTTAGCGACGATCAAATAACTCCTATCGTAGCTTTACCCTTTCGTAAAGAAAATATTTTCGGTTAATATCACTTCCTACAATCACAACTCTAGAAATGTACGGTTCTATGTCTTGAAGTCACTTCTTAGAGATGACCAAGTGTCAAGTTTCTTGTCGAAGTTTCATCCTAACGCAGAAAAGATAATTTCAGCTGGCATCGAACAACAAAAATACTACTCGATCTACAATCACCACAATGAGATGTAAAAGTTGGGATTAGTAAATCTTAAGCTTTTTTTCCAACAAATAAATATATCCATAATATAATTTGATTACTGATCACTGTCAAAAAATTATATATCTTTAACGTAAATAGTGGGTTACTGGTATATTATGGATATAAAAACTGAATGTGGATTGCTTCCAGCTCTGTAAAAAAATATTTACGCCGAATATTACAAACTTGGTATCCTTTTCCAGTTATTAACTTTTGAGTTATTGAACTATCTCTCGATTAGACATCCAGAGAATAGGATAGGTGTCAGAACTAATCTGAATTTTCTTCTAACCACTGTAGGTAGGCTTTACCAGGATTGTGTCAAGTGAAGATATACTAGAAAATATTTTTTTTGGAAATGTGTCCTCTGTAGATTATTTTGTCAAGTGAGAATCTATCCCTTAATCCCAACTAAATACACCAATGGTTGAGCGCTTAGTCAATCGGTCTTGGAATTGAAGTAATTATAGAATTGTGCTTTTTATAAACAAGTCCCTCGAATATTATTCGATCTATTTGAAGCTTGAAGCAATTTGATGTTCTCTTATGCTTGTGCCCGATCATTTAGCACTGTGACCCATTCGATTATTTTTTAATTAATTAATTAAATTAATTTTTATTTTTTGTTTAGGTACAAAATTTATTGCAAAATGTTCAGGACAAATTCCAAACGATGTCGGATCAAATAATCACCCGCATCGATGATATGGGCAATAGAATAGATGACTTGGAGAAGAGTATTGCGGACCTTATGAACCAAGCGGGTGTTGAGGGACCTGAAAAGTAATTGTGTTAGAAATAATGCACTGATGAGGCTGTTAACGAATTCATAAAGAACACTCAACTCTACTACTTCCCTCTCCATACCAGTTTACATTTAATATTTTATACAAGTGAAAATAATATTTAAAGAGAAATTATATCATTTTAAAAATACAATACGTAACAAGCACAGCCCAAATAAAATCAATTATTATTATTCTAATTATTCTAATTATTATGATTATTATTTTTATTATTATTATTATAACTCTTATTATTCTTATTGATCTTATAATTATAAATGAATTATTTATACATTCATACCTAAGATGTACATGCATGCATGCATGCATTCATACATAAATAATGTAGAGATACGAAAATATTGTATATGCACATATATAGGCACGAGATATTGAAATTTCTTAAGCAATCAATAAAAGTTTTCTTACTTCCCCACTTATATACATTATAACTTACATTATAACTTGATGTTGATTAACATTTTGTAATAGTTTTTTTATTTCATTATAAACTGAAACTGTAAGATATTTATTTGATGAACGAATCGTTTTGCTGGACATATTACCGTTCAGCAATATTCAAGGAAACTAAAGCAAATCCTTTTTGTTTTTAAAATTGTTCAAATAAATTATATACACGTAAACGCATAATTAGAATTTAATTTACATATTACATATTACATATTACATATTCCCTATTACCTATAAACTATTAACTATTAACTATAGTTATGACATTCATTTTAGCTTGTGTAAAAACTTTATAAATTAAATTGTCAATTTTCCTTAGTTAATATAACAAATAAATTTTTGAAATGGAAAACGTGAAAAAAACGTAAAACAACACAAAATTGGTGTTTTTTATATAGAAAACTACTTCATTATATTAACTAAATTTGAAGAAACTTCAGAATTATAATTAAATTCACATTAAAATATGTTTCATTTTAAAAAGAGCATTTGGAACATGACTAACGTCTATCTCCCGAGTATATTGTCAGTAACATGTCTAGCGGCTGCAAAATTTGGGAAGGTGAAGGAGTCTCAATATCCTACATCGCTCATCGCTAGAGACTAATAAATCTAAGAGATGGCTTATAGATTATCCACATTAACCTAATGAAATCTATTATTGTTTTTCACATCAAAGATAACCTCAGAAGGTTGGTTTTTCCCATTAGGTACACCTGCTTGAAAAATAAATCTGAGGTATATGAGTGTTATCAAGTGAAAGCAATTGCGGTTCGAAGCGTTATGGTTTCTAAGGGGTAATTCAATACGGGGAAGAAGTTGCAAGGATTCAATCCCAACATTATCCTTTTATGTGTATTGTTAATTATCGTATATTTGTTTAACAATTAAAAGAATATACTCGTATTTTGCTATTTTGAGGGCATCACAATGAGCAATAGATGTGTTATCTGAATTAATAAACGTCTATCCTTGCTTTCCTTGGAATATATCTAGTGATGAAAATTAGTCGTTAGTTACACATAAACTTCTAACTTCTATGAATACTTAAACCAAAATGGCGGCAAAGGTCGTACTAGTTCTGATAGTCGTTGCATATAGCAGATATTAAATTTATTTTTAAATTTAACGTCCACACTCCAGATAGAACAGTGTAGAAAATGAATATAAGCTTAGAAGAACCTAGTAACTCCTGGTTCTGAATTCTGATGCAATGAAGTCCTGAATGTAATGACAATCTATTATATGGTATGGTGTATATGGTATAGTGATTTTCCATAAATATAATATGTATAATATTGAAGAATTATTTTATGTCTTTTAAATTAAATAAGGATGTAAAGACAACTAAACTAGCTGTGGTAATACGTAATGCAATATGATTATAACTATTGATGGCGGAAACATGGGTAGCAGACTAAAAGGTAATTATATAAAAAATACTTACATTAAAATAGACTTATCAACGAAGATTAAACATGCTGGGAACATATTTTCTAAAGTGTCTTAGTTATCTACATGACCTCTTTTTAAAGAACACCTCATTTAGATTTTCAAAGGGTTTTACAGCTCTTCAAACTTTGTACAGGAACTTGAACTAAGTGGATCCTTAAGATCGCAGACATAACCTTATCTGTTCTAGTTCCAGAAATGGAGTAGATATAGCCAGAATTTAAAGGATTAGCGTACGGAAACATAATTTATATGGTAAAATGTCGAGCATAAAAATAAAGACATTTTCAATGAATACATAAATTGATGAATTGATGAATGCGTGAAAGCATAGAAACTAAGTTAAGCAGATTCAGTCCATTACTAATCCAATAATGGTAGGGAATAATGTTTTATGTAATGCATAAAAAATTACTAATGAAATTGTATTCAAGAATAAACATCCGTAAATCTTTCCATGCAATCGAGTCTTCATATATCTTCCATTTAGATATAGGATCATCCTGTCTCTGTCTCGATCTATATCTTCATACCAACATATCATATATGTAAATGTATTTTTTTTTAAAGCCGAGTTTCTTGAAAATAATACACGTATTTAAGTTAATGTAATTATTACGTTTTTAATATTTTAATATGGAAGTTACAATTGAATCGTCCTTATAAGAAGTATATATCGATTTAACTCTTCGAATAGAAATAGATTAATTTAATTGTTTTTGGCTTTAAATGATTTTATTGATTTAACAAACATAACATTCCTTTCTTTTTCGGGCGATTCGTAAAAGTTTTGTGCGAGAAATCTATTTTTCTCCGACCTCGTCTTAGCGAGTTGGAGTGCATGTTTACTCCTCTGCGAGCCTTTGATGGCAGTTCCCTTTTTCTCCATGTCTTGTCGTTGTCGTTGTCGTTGTAGTGTCGTTTTAGTAATGAGTTTTTGTGGATTTTTCACTGAGTGCACCTAAATTTTGTATATATAAGCACGTATTAAAGTGTATTTGAGTATGATTATTGGAACGACATGCAAACTGAAAGTATGTGGATGATTTAAAGCTAAACAGTAACGGCTTCCATGGCTTCTATTATTTTTATTACGTCTGGTTGTGTTGGTGATTGCTCAACAATTTGTTGACGTTGTCATAATAATTTTGCGACCAATCAGAAATTAGTCGGAAATTGCCATACCATCAGGCCGTCACTGTGCAGATTTATTTTTGATTCGTATGTGAGAGTTCACGCGGGTGCTTTCGCAACCTTACTTTTGGTGTGGTTGCTGCTGCTGTTTTGAAGAGATTTCGAGTATTCTGCCGTCTTCGGAAGGGATATTTGCTTTGATCGAAATCATTGTCACTATTGGTTTCTGCAAGAAAACTGCTATCAACTTTTTTAAATGCTCCGAGCGTTTTGGATTCTGTTAGATTCTCTGTTGTTTTGACATCAGCGTCGCTTTTACTCAAATCTTCAGACCCAGTCTCATAACCTTTCTGTCGCTGTGAACTACTGTTATCCTCCGTGCTCTAGAATATGTAAAAAATCATTTCTTGACAATTTCTTAGAATACATATGTATTAATTATATGTATTAATGTAATTAAAAACAAGTAAAATAAAAAATATTTATGCGTTTGGGACAAAGGATTCACTATGTGGTTTAAAATTTTCGTGAGGTCTTATTTTAACTCTAAACTTCATTTCTTCCGTTTGTCAATATGTAGATTACGAATATATTATATCAGTTATTATTATAGCTATTAATGTCACAAGAAACACATATATATGGAATTAGTTACACTCGTAGCAGATGTTATACTCGTATACCTATATATACGATAGTGTGTAGTGTAAATATTTCTTTATACACTATACTTTGCTTTTATATCTTAATAAAAATATCTTATGATATATATTTCTATGAAGTAAAAGATATTATTCTTAAACTTGTACTTAAATCAAAGTAAATTTATTTACCTCATCTTCATCGACGTCGTCATCTTCTTCATCAATATCCTCATCTTCATCCTCGTCGTCATAGTCGTCTTTAGTAAGTCGATCCTTATCGTAATCGATTGTATTGAGTGTTTTGTTACTTGTTGACAGTCTTTTACTTTGATTCAGTGGACTGGGTGAACTGTCTCTATCCAACTGATCCAGCGATTGCGATTTACTGCTCTTAAGCAATATAGATTTCTCTTTCTTTCTGATCAAATTTTGAAGAGCTAAATGATCACCATGAACGTCGATGTTGTTTAAATCGTAAAAGGACGCAGTCAGAGTTTCTATGGCTTTCGTGTGATATTTCATCGATATGTAAACAAAATCGAGCAAGGAAGTTTTGACTTCTTTTAGCTTTTGCTTTTCGAAATCATATAAAATCTCATTGATTTCTTTGTTCGTACGATGCACCTCTTGTTTAGCCTTCATCAGTTCAGCATCTGCTGCGGTCTGTAAGTAAACCAATCAATCAATTAATTAATAAAGCAATAATAATAATAGTAATAAATAATAATTAGAGTGCAAATAGTAAAGGAACTTTTTATAAATGTTTTAATAAATCTTATGGACTGAAGTGTACTATTGCCTAACCAATCCGTTTCTATTCTTAAAAAGGACAATACTAAATGTTGTTGAAAAGCTGTTACTTTGCGGTGAGAGTAGAAGTTATTCTAAACATGATAGCAATATAATATATTAACCATTTTTGCATCATTCTTTTGTTCAGTCATTTTAAGTCTTCAATGAAAATCAACCGACACTGTAATAGACCCAAAGTACCATCCATATTCATATAGTTCCTAAATTTTCTCGCATAGTGTAACTCACTTCTTCGCCTCACTCTATTCGTCATGTAATCCATTTATGGTTCTAACAACCAAAACAAGGGCTATAATTCTTGAAGGCAGTTAACGCAATGAATCCAATCCCTCTGGATTGTTGACAACTTAATAACATAATGAAGTGATTTCAATAAACTTACATTATTTGCAGCGAATTTATTTTTTAACTCCAACATTTGACGTTGCTTGTCAACTTCCCTATTGCGGGCATTCACGGCATTACGCAGTTTCTCGCGAGTCATCTTACAGACGTTCTCAAACTGAAAAATCTGTGTCAGCACCTGAAATCAGTTCAGATGGCTTCAGTTATGATTGATATTGAAATTAAAATTGTCAGTAGTGAACCTTATTTTCCAAACAATGCAGAGCGCCATCGATATAATCTCCCAATACAGTGATTGCCGTAAAAAAGTTCTTCAAGCCTTCTGCAAGCGATTCATTTAGATCCTCTTCATCGACGTAGTTCTTAAAGCATTTTGCCATATCATCATGAGAGTCACGAAACCTGAAAGTTCCAAACAAATCTTATGGAATAGTAAATTTATACAAAATATGATTTGAACTAATGAAAATGAGTCAAGTGAGTGCCATAAAGTGCTCGAGCCTGACGGTGTTTGAGCAGTTCGGGCATTTGGAATGAATTTTTTGTAGGTCTGTCATTTTCAACTGACGAAGTAGTTGATGTTAATTGTTCTTTACAATTCTTTACAACGTATGACTGCAAACGTTTTAATATTTTTGAGTCATCCACTGTACTGGAGCTAAGCATTCGAAGCGACGAACAGTTCAAATAATATTGGAAGCACTTTCGTAAATCCGGCGTAGCTCCACATACCGATGCATTCCACAATATGATCTAGTGTATCTTACAATCGTTGAAGCAGTAGAGCGTCAGTACTGAATATTATTTATCGCTGATGTGCCTCGAAGTGCAGCAGTCAGTAAGGGCAGCAGTTCGCTGCAAAACCGGAGCACTTAATATAGTAATAACACTTATTATAAATTAATTTATGTTCATATATGTATATGTCTACGCACAGTACATCTCAGGATAAATGAAACCGTCTTACAAACCTGGCCATTTTCCGAGCATAGGAGGCGAACGCTGTGCAAATGATTGCCAAATGTTTTTCTGCTAAATTGACGCGTTGGTTGAGAAATTTTACGCGATCATCTTTTTCGCTAGCGAATGGAATTTTGCTACGACGAAACATACTTTTATCTATTTTACTAATTTGATGCACTTATCTTCAATTCTTCAACAATTTCCGAAATTTCCGACGTTCTAATAAAATCTTAACAATGTTATAAATACACTAATGAAAGGCTCTGATATGATTTTGTTTACGATTCTGTTATGGTCAGTCCTCTGTTGGCTTGGCAACGAAAACGTAAGTGAAATTTGATTTGCTTGGTTTTTTGAAGGAAATTTCTACATAACCGAAAAAGTTGGCTGTGTTCAATGTTGCTATAAAAAGCTTTGTTCAATAAGAACACATCCATATATCGTACTTCCAAATGGATTACTGATAACAGTTTATATTAAAAACATGTATTTCAGGCCACATTTTCTAATAACTTGTGGATCAAGAAATCCTGCAAAGAACCGCACAAGTTCATAAGTTGTTTATAGCTTTTTTTGTTTTTTTTTTTAATATTACGGTCTATCAAGTAATACGGTATATTCTTCACAATTATACGGTCTTTGCTACAAGTCTAAATATTACGGTCTTTGTAGTGAGTACAAAAACCGACTACTGCACAGTTTCCTTACGGTCCTTACAATGGCGCAAAATAAGACAATTTCTTATCAGTTTCTGTCACCGAGTAATTATAATACGATATATTATTATAATATTATATTGTATGTATGTATATGTACGCCAACTGAAAAGCTTATACAATTTGAAGCTTTTCAGAATATTTTCAGGTTCACTGAGCTTTTTAAATAGAGCTCTAAGTTTAAGCAATCGTTGATTTATTATGCATGAACGACTCAATTTATGAAAGGAACCACGTTGTTGTCTTAAAAGATGCTACTTACCCTAGAACATAATAGTTTATCTAACTATAACATAACATAAGACAATATATCTAGTCTGCTAGTCTGTCACTCCTAAGAGCTGGTTCCAATGATCCTAGGATAACTGTAATGCGATGTATGGGTTTTTGTATTTGAAAACCTTTTAACAAAAATGGTTGAAAAATGTTGGTCTATCAAAATTTCTATAATAAAAAGCTTCTATAATAGGGCTTTTATATCCTTGCCATTAGCGTGGAATAAACTCCTTTAATATATTTACTTCATTCAACTGGCCGCTAACCACATAATGCTTGTGCAACTTCAATAAAATGTTTACATTACAATTAATTTGTATGTTCTTAATTAACTTAATTACTAAATTAATTAATTAATTATAAATTATATTTCCCATCATACTTTCTTCATCAATGAGGATTGTTGTTCGCTTGGTGGATCTGTCAACGAATAATATAATCCCGTCTGGGGCAATGAGTCAGAGAAACTTCACAGTAATGACCTTATCATTATTCATGTGGCATTTGGTGAGGAGATGTGATTGGCCGACACATGTTAAAAATGCGGACCTGTGACACAAATTGTCAAACCTTATCGCTTGATTATTACATGAGAACAGGTTTTTTTTGGCGTGAAGTCGAAAGTATGGATGTGGCAGATATAGCGACATTGGCTCAGGTCACAAAACTCGTTCTGTTTTGAGTTTGTTGCGCGAGAAATTTCCGAACGTATAGTTTCGTGTAACGCAAAGGATCGTGTTTAAGGGAACAATGTTCAAAATTTTTACACTTTAAAGACAAGCATCCTGCAAGTTATGCATGGACTATTATCAGTTATATGACAGCAATAAGTTGACAAGCTATCAAAAACCACCTCAAAAGAATGCCTTACTGTAAGAGGTTCTTTGGAGTAGGTTTGAAGTGAAGTTGTACTACACACCTGATGACACGCTCTAAGCAATACATTTAATCAGGAATTGGATTGAAATCTCAATCATAAATCTGTTTTCGGGAACCAAAAAATGGATAAACCAATAATTCAAATGAAATGGAAATTTTGTCAGATTAACTAAAAATTGGCTTTATTTCTAATGTTAGCGATGGATGTAACAAATAATATTTAATTTTAACGTATATATGAAGAACATTATATAAATAAAGACTACATTGCTACATTTATATGTTTCAAACATAAGCTATATATTGGAGGTTAAGTTGGTAGACCACCAAAACAGACACAAAGGCCAAAGCGTTCTACGCATAGACAACGTCGAAAAGAACAGGCACAAAGAGATATCAGAGAGATCACTCTTTGTACAACGTGTGAGTGTAATATCTGTCTATCTGGTAATATCCGTTCTTGGTACAACTATTATATTTGAAAATATTCAATTAACATTTCTTACTCGTAGTTAATAGCGCTCAGTACTTACCATATACTTGGTTGGCTAAAATGTTCTCATCGCTGTAATGGAGACGACTGATACATATTGTGTTTGTAGTAGAAAATTTGAATAAATCATATTTAATTCGAGGACTGTAACGAAAAGACGCTCTTCATTTCTAAACATTGAGTATCACACTATTGGGTTCTTGAGTTCTTCACTATTGGGTTCCTGCACACTTGAATATATATATATGCAGGATATAAGCTAGCAGATAAGGTGGTTAGAAAAAGCACGGAAATAATTATTAATTAATTAACATTATAGAGTGGAGGATCAAAGTCGAAGGGATTTCATTATATAGGAGTCAGTTTTTTCATACGCTTAACGAAGACAGTGAAATATATACAGTGGTTCTTGTTAACTTCACCAGAAATACTAATTGCGCATGGGGTTGCCATGGACATCAGTGTAAATCCATAACAACTAAGCGAGCTTTAGTTATTTCCTCAGCATTTGACTATAGTGCCAATGTAAAATGTTGGATTGGGGAACGGCTGACCCATTGCAGTCATTATGCACATATAATATATTTTTGAATATATCGCAATAATTCGAATATTAAGTTGTCTGTAATTGAATTGAAAGGCATAAGACATTCCACATTTGACGGTAAACCTGAGAAATTGCTTTTTTAATCAATCGAATTTAAATTGAAAATCACAATTCTACCATCTTTCCTGTTAGTTGCCTTCCGCAGTACCAAGAGTCCTGCCGACTTCCCTGCAATTGTTGAGGTACTTCACCTCTGGTAGTTTGAGTGTTTGAGTGTTTCACATATCCTCCTCACACAATGCTGTGTACAAAGCATTTGTGCTTTACATTATTTGGGAATTAATTAAATTAATTTTATTTTAAACAAGGTAAAATGTGAAATGTGAAATGTATCTTGTATCTGCAATTGTATGTTGTGTGTCTGTGGTATGCGTTTGAAGTGCATTTCACAGTTGCCGTATGTAAAAACGTTATTGCAAAACTATCTTTGATTAAAATTAAATCAGAGAAGCATAGTTTTGCAAAGCAAAGCAAATGCTTTGTAAATAATATTTTCTAAGTTTCTTAAAGAATTTTTAATCTATTTATTTTTATATTTATTTTTATTTTGATTTTGATTTTGATTTTCAAAAGGATTTAATAATTTTGCCATTCTGTGTTATCAGTAAAACCACAAGATGTGCAGATGTGCGTGCGTCCTTGTTGCAAGGATTTATAACTTGCGCTTCGTTGTTGTAGTTGTTGTGGTTGCATTATGCATTTTCAATAATATTTTGTAATATTCACATTATCTTTTAATGATGGCTGCATCTGTGAATAGAAATCACATTGATTCTTGTGGTTGAGCTCCTCGCTTATATTGATTATGATATTTCAATGACTGCTCATTCACGTACGGTCAGGACATTGGGCTAGAGATTTGTTATTGTTAAGCTCTAAACATTGCTATTAAGGACATTGCTGTGACACAGACTTTCTACTGCCGGCTATATTGAGTTAAATTACACTTGATTTTCTTGATTTAATCAGTGCTTAGTTATTGTATCTTATATCTTTTGAATTTAATGCAAATGTAAATGCGTGTGTTATGTTTTCACAACTAAGCTCATTACTCTATGTTTTTCGTATCAATAGATTTTCAGAATAAGTATTAAAACCTAAATTGGAATTGGTCTACACATGTTATCATCATGTAGAGTGTTATCAACCAGCATATTCTTTAAGGAATCTTTAGTTCTACTAGATGAATGAGCTCATGATTTATAGCTGCCGATAATTTTTGCCATAAGTACGAGTATGTAGGGTTGGATGTTCTTGTTGATGCACTGAAATCTGGAACACATTTAGGTGGACTGAAAAGAAGTTTTGAATAGGAAGGATATAAATTCAATAATTTTCCTTTAACACAAAACAACTTCATTTTAATTAAAAAGTAATGGTTAGGCTAAGACCCCTATGCACTGCAATTAGTTTGATCTATTGTACACACCTTTGTATTTAGATATTTAGTATCTCGAGGAATCGAACCAGCTCCTTCGGAGGAAGTTTTCGAAAGTCTTCATCCTCCAGTTGGTATGTACCTAAAATTTTGATTCTTCTGTGGCCTAGTGCATCACAGTTGGTGATCAGATTATTAAGAAGATTATTAAGAAATTAAGTAATTAAAAAGTTTTGTCCTATAGTCAGTTGGTACTATAAAGATTTCATGGAATGTTGTTACATACGAAGTGAACTAGAGTTCGTATTTAGAGTACTAAATAAAGGTTTAAAATAATCGTCAGTAGTTATTTCTCTCCATTGCTACTACTCACTATTTATTGACGAATTTTGAAACATAATGCATTTTGTGGCCATTCTTGGATTATTGTTCTCCACGGTTACGATTATTTTTCTAATCTTTAACCACACAGCGTGAAATTGACATATTAATTGAGATGTTTGTAATGCAGTAGAAAAAAGTTAAAGTGATAATCACAAGTCAAGCACATATATGAGGTGCATTATATAGTAAAATATCGTCGCACTTCAGAGAATAGAAACCGAGTTATTCCATCTGAAGTGGTAGCAAGTTTGGATTACAAATAAAAAAATAAGCATTGTTTTACAAGATATCCAGTTTATTTTGCAACATACCACGCGTATAGAAATGCTTGTCTGTTTGTGAATTAGTCTGTGTCTATACTTTTCAGCTACTTAGTGTTTAAAATAGATGAAACAATTGTCCACGTAAATTTTTTTACGGAATGACTCAAATCGAAATATTATATATGCTTAGAACTGATCAAGTGATTAGCGATACGGTAGTGTTAGATGTCCTGTGAAGGACATTTAAATGATGTATTTCACATATGATGACAAGATCAAAGCAATATATCAAAATAAAGGT